GGAGTCTTAGACCTTTCCCACAATATATAGTGGCTCATGATTAGATTAGGATTTAATTGTAATATAGTGAAGTAAACTTAAGTGTCCCACAGAGGGGACGGGTGACCGTTAAAGGGCTAAAGTTCTACATATAAAAACGGTGAATTTTATTTTAAGAAAATGCAACATGTGACTGGGGGAAAAAAAAGGGGGGGAACAAATACAAAAAAAAAAAAAAAAAAAAGCCAGTATCAGTCACTGAACAAAAGAGGCATAAATACAAGATCAAAACCATAACTAAAGTGGAACATGGACTCAAGAAATGATACAAAAACGAAATGCCAAACAAAAGGGTTAAATACATTTTTTTTTTTTTTAAAAGCACATAAGCATAAACAAGTGCACAACAGGGGAGGAAAACTCTAGAAAAAACATCTAGAAAAAGGATCTTAAAATAAAACCCACCAAGGCATAATACAGGGACAACAGCATAAAAGCATAAGATGGGACTCTATTAGAGACACAAGTAACGCAAGGAACATTTTTGAATATTGAAAGTGATTTGTACATTTACACATGTATATTTCAAGTTATACTGCATCACATGACTTGGTCAATTTCATATTTAGAACAGTCTTTAGGGTTTAATATGGTCTTTTAACAGTTCCTTGAACCATTACACTTTTTCAAGCTTCAAATTAAATATGGTTTTAAAGTTTGATTTCCTTTGTAACCTGACATTGTTACACTGCCATTTCCAGGGGTTGGGCACAAAGGATTTGACAAAACCATAAATAAATAAAAACCATAAAGATTGTAGAAAACCACTACACTTTAGTCGAAAGACTTTACATTGGAATTGCATGAAGTGTAAATTGGATGGCCAGGTTTGATGCTGCATTTATTTTTTTTTATTTATTTTTTTTTTAGTAAAGAGGATTTACAATGATTATGAAAGACCACAACGGCACATAATGAAAGCCAAAAGTCAAGTGCAAATTACCCATTCGGATAGAATTTAAACTCAGTTTGAAACAGGACTCAAGGTAAATGTTTAACTTAAACTAGTTTTTAAAATTACTACATGGACAAAGCAAAAGATTCTGCCGACTCAAATTGGCCACAAGAGGGCAGTCAAGTGGACGCATAAAGCACAAGAGGAGCCTCTGAACAGACTCCATTTGAGAAAGTCAAAAATAGCTCAAATGAAAGTGAAAGCACAAAAACTAGTTCTTACAACACTCAAACATGCAAGAGCTTTGACTGGATGAAGAATTAGAATGATTTGCATCTGGTTTGAGCCCAAATGGAAAAAGGATGGGGGGGGGAATTTGGTTCATGCTATAGAACCTGCAAGATGAAAGTGCTGCAAAATATGAGGACACTGAACTGGCCGACAGCTTCGTAGTTTTTATATTAAAAAAAGGGGGGGGGGGGGCAGAGCAAGTTCATCATCTGGATAATTCGGTCACATTAGCAACCAGTTCAACTTCAATTCTACAAATGAAAAGGGCTGAGAAAGCCGTTCCGTTGACCAAACCTGTTGGCCAACCCTAACTTGACAAAACAGCGTGCATTGTGCGCATGTTCAGTTGAGAGAACCATGCTTTGAATTCCTGTTTCAAATTTAAGGATCAAGCACATCAGTTTAAGTTTATAAACTAGAGGTTTCACGCAAAGGCACTTGAGCAAAGATTGCAAAAAGTCAAGAATGTTCCAAAATACACATTCAAAAGGAGGACAGTTCCACATCCAGCAGTTGCGAGAACAAAACTAGTACAAGAACTACTACTTCAATAGATTATAAAATGTGGGTACACTGGAGCCAAAAACAAAATGCATTCTTGCTATAGTTCCAGTCAGGGATAGCCCAAGCCTTTATTGGGCCCCCCCCAAGCAGAATTTTATTTGGGGACCTCTGTGCCACCAATATGATTGACTGCAGTCAATGATTGATTCACACGCACACTATAGATTCAACAAACTATCAATTTTATTTGTTGTAGCCTTGTTGCTTACATCTTACCAATGTCTGCCTGGCATTTTACCCTTCTACGGTTTTTAAATTGTAACCGCGGCAAACCCACAAGAGTGATCAGCTGTTAATTTGCACTTTAACATTTAAAGTCTTACAGTATTAAATGGCATACTTGTACTGAAAAGTAGCCAAATAAACAGCAGACAATTTACTGTAAACAAGTTAACCATTTTAATTGCTTCTAGTTAAAAACTAGCAATGTATAAAAGTGAAGATCAACTACAAATAAAACCAAGATAAACCGTATCTTATATAAAATACTTTTTTTATGTAATGTTCATTGTTAATCACCTTCAATAATCAGTCCGACTGCGTTTACGCCCCGCTACAGCCCATTAGTATATTTTCTTTGATTTAATATGGTCTTTTTATAATTGCCCTCAACCATTTGTCCATTAACAAATCACCAAAAAACAAACCTATAATTTTGTGCTCTTAAGGGCCCCCTAGAGGCCACAAGCAGATGCTTAGTTTTGCGCCAAAGCAGCTGTAATTGTGCGAAGTTGAAACCATTATAAATGACGACAGATTACCAAATTATCAGATGACCCAAGCGACTTTGAGCCTCGGACTACAAATCATCTGCTGATGAAATAACCAATCAAGCCACCAGGAGTTTGTGAAAGAAAATGTTATTCACGTGGAAGCAAAATTAAACATGGCACAACTCACACACTTTATTGCAAGCAGACAGTTTTACACAGTGTTAAACGGTTTCTTTACAAAACTTAATTGAAATGTTAAACTCTTCAGACATGTGATAAAGACAATGGTTGTGCTTCCAGCATAGACAGGTAAGGCTGTAATGCCCCGGCACCATATGTAACAAAAGCAGTATTTCTGAATATTGAGCGGGATGTTTGTAGATTGAATAATAATGCATTACTTTTCAATTTCATACGTAATATGCACACGCAAGTAACATTTTTAATAAGTAATTTTTTGAAGGGGTTTGCTATTAGACAGTCTTTTGATGGTTCCTTAAAACAATTTAATTTAAAGCTTGGAAAAGTGGGAATCGTTCTCAAGTATGAATTTTGTTGTAACCTTGACAAATGAAAAGTAAACTGCTACACCTCAAGTTTATGGTTTTACATGTCACTTACATCCATCCCCTAAGGACTGCCATAGAATGAACGAGATCCATTTGCCTGACAGTCATAAATACAAGTATATAGGGTAATAAAGGTAAATGAGCATTAAACCCAAGTGTTAAAAAAAAAAAAAAAAAGGTAGCCTCGTCACTAGGTTTGGGGTACCCCATCTATCAGATATCGGAGCTTGCGGTTTTGAAAAAAAAGCCAGTAGATGGCAGACTAAACCTGTTCTGCTCCTCACCAAATTGGTTAATCAGAGGCTGGTGGGGAACATGCCTCAACCCAGTAAAGAAAACAATAGGCACAAATTGAGACAAGCCAAAGTTGACATCCTAGCAGTTGACAATTTCCTGAAGAAAGCTCTCCACATTTCCATAGATCAAATGAGGCGGAGGGGTCTACATGATTGCCTGCATGTACAGCAGAAATAATCCAGAGGACAAACAGCACTGTGCCTAAAGAGCATTAATATTAACGTAGACAAGGGACTACAATATTGTGCACATTCTGCATCCTTGTTCCAAGAACATTTGCTGGTAGACGCTCAGGTCTTCACAGAGGTTTGGTTAACAAAAGGAGAACTTCACATGACAGGCTGAGACTTTTGGATTAGTTTTAATGCTGTAAGGGAACAAGTCAAAGTAAAAACACCACAGGAAGGTCACAGAACATGCTTGCATTACAAGTAATTAAAGCACTAACTTTACCTACAAAGAGTACGAAAACAAAATGCAACCAACAAATGGCCACAGACAAAAAAAAATTTTAAATTTAAAGAGCATAAAGCAGGTAAAGTTTAACAAATTAAAACCACAGTAAGGAAAGGGGGGGGGGTCTTTTAAATATTTTTCCACAAAGCTGCCCTGTCAGACTGAAGCAAGCAGCCCAGCAAAAATGTGGAGAACCTCACAAGCAAAGCAGTCTGAAGAAAAAAAAAAAACAGAAACAAAAACACCATCTTGTTAATATTGATTTAAATTCAATGCACCTGTGACCAACCATCCCTAAAAAAAAAAAAAAAGGGGGAAAAAAAAAAAAGCACCTTGCCAAAGACTTGTTCCCCAATTTCAAACCACTACATAACCAAGCATAACTGGCTTTTGATATGCACCTGCAAGTGACTGACACTGCCTTCTGTTCGGTTCCTTACCAATTAGTATACCTAACATCGGTTGATCAAAGGCTACATTGATCCATGGCTGTATTATCCATAATGTGGTTGTAACCTGCTAAATTCAGGAGTCATAGTTCAGGTTTCAATTAGTTAAGTCCACTTAAACATTCTCCACATTGCCAAAGGAAAGAGCAAATGGAAAAAGAGCTTGGAACTCTCCAGCATTCACCTGAATAAATCTCACGTTAAAGTCAGCTACAAGCAGACTGCCATTAAGGTACAGGATAACAGCACATTCAGCTCCTCCAAAATGCCCAGCTGACCTGAGGACAATGGCACATGAAGTTAACTGTGACCTTAATTTGCGTGAAATTCAAAAGGAGTTATTTGTTAAACTTGCTGGTTTTGATGTGGGCTCTGGGATGAACTGTAGATGTGCCAGCATGTCCTGTGGTAGAATTCAGTTTGGTCAAGCCAAAGGTGAGCAGAGAGTAGCTTCAGCTTCAGGGCTATGGCTGTGCCAGACAGTAGTAAAAACAAAAAGATATGGTGATGTGCACAGAAAAACAGTACATGGAAGGGGGGGTGCTGATACCTTATCTACAGCTTTGTGTTGGCAGACTTTGGCCTTCATAAGAGTCAAGAGCACATTTAAAAATTTCTGCACGCCAATCAGCAGGTGAACGCTACAAACCCCATGGTTACCATCTAAAACTTAAATTTTGCAATAGTCAAACAAAGCTCACACTGAAAGTGCAAGCTGTAATTTCTTACCTTCAGATGGTCAACCAGATACTGCTGGGCTTGGATTAAAGTGTTTTTACTTGCATCAGGGCTTCTTGAAGAAACTGGAACAATAAAGAGATAGAAACTCATAACTTGTCAGAAATGCAATTTGATGGGTTGCGGTTGGTAGCAATGATCCAAATGAACTATTCTGCCTTCACCTTAAAGCGGTTGACCCAGTAATGAGACCAATATGCCAGATGCTGTAAACATACAAGGGACACAGGTTAGACTTCAGTTCAAGAGAGGACTTCTCATCTAGGCAGCTCCTGGGGAATGATCCTTTGCCCGTACCTGATTGTAACAATTAAAATAACTAATTTTAAAGAAATACTGAAGGTTGTGTAAATGAGGTACAACTGCGAGTTGTAGCATTTAGCTATTTAAAAAGGTCAAACAAGGCTAGAAGGGCTTAGAACTCTTGCATGAGCCACATCAACGTGGATGGCAGCCAACGAGTGGACATAAAACCTTAAGGAGAACCGTACATCCAGCTCTATGGTGTTCCGCTTACCTAGGAGAAAAAGAAAAAATTTGATTAGTATTTGTAATTGCATGAGATTCAAGACTGTTGTACAGAAGAGTATTTTCCAAGTTAACAAGCACACCTGCTCTAACACCTCCCTCCAAGCTTTGAAGTTGATAGAGGGTGGCATCAGTTTGTCCGTTGTTCAAATCTAGAGCCCAAGTCAAAGCAGAGTATAGTTACAGACTTCTGAAAACTGTTTCATTACCAACGGTTCACCCAAAAATGACTCCCTTACTCCTTGTGAAGTGGTCCAACTTGTTTGAGTTTCTTCTGAACACAACACATTTTGAACAATCACTTTAACAGTGCAACACCGATTAACCAACTTTATAGTTCTTCCTTGTGCACATTGCTAAAAAGACTTAGATTTCCAAAGGCCAAAAAGAGTTAGAAGAGCCAGCTTAGAAACAAGTACTTTTAGGTATAAGCAGGGGGTGGGTGGCAGGGGAAAAAATAAAATTACCCACCACATACACACGTCACTATGAAAAGTTCAGACACTGTAGCAGCACGGAGTTCTGGCAACATCTGAAGACTGTTTAGTTTAGAGACCACGCGTTACCAAAAACAATAAATAAAATTTAAAAAAAACTTTTAAAAAAAGGCGCAGTTAGATAATTTCCACACCTGACTTTTTTTTATTATAAGCAAACAGCAGTTTCACAACTTTTTCAGCATCTACAGATTTAATTCCTCAGATTACTTAACTGGGTGTCTGTGATCTCTCCTGGAGGCTCTTCAGGCATAGAGAAATTTGCACAAATTTAACTTGATTGTAAAACTCAATGATTGATTGATTTTTTTTATCAATGTACAAAATGCAAAAAGAAATGGGTGATTGTTACATGCATTGAGGTCCAGCTGGTTGTCTGGCTTGAGTCACTGTAGAACTGAGCCACCTGAGGTCGAACAAGACTAGAAGAACTTGGAGTTGTGAAGAGACTTACCAAAGGACTCAAGTCACCGATGGGCTGTCATCAAGACAGGATAACAGCACGCCGATCTCAGTTGTTGCTTTTTGAAGTTACAGCCAAAGGAAAAAAAGAAAAAAAAAAAAAAAAAAAAAAAAAAAAAACTTTTTAAAAAATTTGATCATTTTTTTGGTTATTTCCAAAAAAAAAATGAAAAAAACTTTAAAAAAAAAAAAAAAAAAAAAAACTTTTTAAAAAATTTGATCATTTTTTTGGTTATTTCCAAAAAAAAAATGAAAAAAACTTTAAAAAAAAAAAAAAAAAAAAAAACTTTTTAAAAAATTTGATCATTTTTTTGGTTATTTCCAAAAAAAAAATGAAAAAAACTTTAAAAAAAAAAAAAAAAAAAAAAACTTTTTAAAAAATTTGATCATTTTTTTGGTTATTTCCAAAAAAAAAATGAAAAAAACTTTAAAAAAAAAAAAAAAAAAAAAAACTTTTTAAAAAATTTGATCATTTTTTTGGTTATTTCCAAAAAAAAAATGAAAAAAACTTTAAAAAAAAAAAAAAAAAAAAAAAAAAAAAAGAAAAAACACTTTTGAACAGTTCTGATGTTTGACTCTACAATAACTGAAACTCAAGATCTCAATCACTAAAACTACATGAACTTCCCATAGTCTCACATGCCTGTGTGGACTGCGAGTATGTGCTATAAATGCATAATGCTTGCGCTTAAGGTAATTCAGGTGGTTGAGGAGTGTGAAAGTCTATCGAGCACAGAGGGAGTTGCGGTGTTGTGCAGATCTCCATGTCTCAGTCAAAACCAAATGTGGTGCTTTGAGTGGAAAGGTGAAGTCAGCGTTAACAGCCAACCAGCAGCTGCACAGTTGGTCCATGGGTGCAGTTATACTTCTGCATTTGGTAAACAGGGATGTATTGAAGTCACATGGTGAGATAACATTCACCCTCATTGAAGAGCTTCAACAGATTCAAGGTGTTCTTCAGAAAAGAAACACTGCTTCCAAAGAGACTGGTTGACGAGACTTTACCTTGGTTCAAGGGTCAAGCATACCATTTGAGAGCAAGAGACTGGAGGGTGTTGCAGGAGTCTATCTGTTGGTGCAGGGCCAGACATGGTAAAAGGAAGAAATTAAAATGGAGAAGCTACCAACACTTACAGCATCATCTCAGTAATTGGTTAAATTGCACAGAACTTGCAAACTGCCACCAAGTCAAAATAATTGACTGCATCAAGAAATGCTTTTTGACATGATTAGGAAGTCATGGCATGATACTTAACCTGCCCAGTTGAGTGAGAAGTATGGGAGAAAAAGTCCATAGAGGGCTAATACAATTGCAGTGTTACCTGGAACCCAATATTTGTCAAAGCCTTAATGTTGCATTGTCACTGACTGGCAGAGATGAAAAAAGCAGGAATGAAGACATTTGTTGCTGGCTGCCCTACATGGTACTCAACCACAGTCTTCCACGCTCTTTGGGAATGTGACTGTAGACAAATGCTCTGAGATATCTATGCGGTCTTAGAGGCATTTAAACTAATAAACAGGAAATTAAAGAAACCGACAAAAAGCAGGGTTATGGTCGCATTAGAGACTTTAATTTTCTATAAATATATGAAACCAAGCATACACCACATGCCACTGACCAACCATGCTACTTAGTCCTTTCAGCTTAAAATGGAGGGGGGGAAAAAAGACCACCTTAAACCCAAACACTTAGTTGTACATGGTACATTCCAAATATAGTGGTGGCAGCACAGACAAATTTAATATCGATAGATGTCAGTATAGGGTCTAAAACCATGGACACATCAGTAAGTAGTAAGAGTCATGCTGATGCTTAGAGAGAGAAAAAGAAAATTCACTTGAAGGCACCAGAAGACATGTGAACCCAAAGGGTCATTGATGTACAACAAGTATAAGCCACAAAATTGTAATGACGGCAAGACACTCGAACAATTTAACAGCAACAATCAATTTAAACTGCCTTCACTCCAGAAAACATTTCACCTGTTGATGCACAGTTCCTTGGAAATTCAGATCTAATAAAAATCACAAATACCGAAACGGTTTAACCTCACCAAATGCCACAGTGAAGTAACCCATTTCTTACACAATGCCCAGGAAAGTGAAGGATCTGAAGCAACAAAAACCAGAGCAGATTATGTGAAACCCAAGACGTTCATATACTGTCAAGCAATAAGCTCTGTATTTGAGCTTTAAAAGTCTTACCACTCATTGTATAGTTTGAGCCCACATTACAATAAAGAAACGTTTGCCACGGTCACAGCTCTGGAGGAAAATTATTCTTAGCAAAAAAAAAAAAAAAAAAAGAGAATACCACAGATGGAGGAAAAAAAAAACATAAGGCAAAGGCAAACAAGATATAGGCCAAGCACCTCACCTGATGGTGAAATCATGGTCACCATCAAGAGAAATGCCAAGTACAACATGTTCCTGGATCACCATCCTTGTTGATCCTGGAACAACATTCCTATCAACCAATCAGAATTGAGGGATAACTTTACAGGAAATATCTGTTTTAGGCTTACAATCAGGGTTAGGGGCTTCTACACCCTTGTTAATCAGCTATCATTTCATACCGTTTTTAAGAATAAATTATGGGTAGGGTTATGGGTAGGGATTGGGCTAAGTCTATATTTGTGGACGGTTATGTTGATCCAGAATTAACAAAAGATGTTCATCCAGGAACATGTCTTAATTGTCAAAATCGCGGCGACCTTCTCTTGATGCAGTTTAGCAGTCACATTCGATCAGCTTCACATGCGGTCTTCGTCCTTCAACAGGACTGTTAACAAACTCAAAAGCAACTCCTGATTGGCTCATAACATTTATTACTAGATATAGGTTCTCATTAATAAAAAACAAATACACAAGATATAAAATCACAAAAATGAACGAAGAAGAAAAGAGCCTACCTTTCAATGATTAAAGCAGGAATACTTTCAAGCATGCAAATCTCTTTCAACATCCTTACACCACAACTGCCATCGCATACTGACAAACTTGACCAATAGCTAGTGGGCATTTATAGAGATGGACAAAACCATTGACAGTCAAGCAAGCTAACAGTAATTAAATTAATCAAAAACTAAACTATATAACTATAATCAACTAATTATTTAACAGTCATGTATACAAATTCCATCATTGGTAAGGCATTGAAGTAAAAAATAAATAAATAATAATTTAATTTTTTTAAATAACAAACAACCCCCTTCATCCTCTGCACTTGCTTTCTCCCACCTCCCATAATGCACCACAGCACAGATATTCCAGACATTCTAGCAGTGCCTCTGGTTGCAAGCTGCCGTTAAAACCCAAAGAAGAAGAAGAAGTGCCTCTGGTTTTTCATCTGGTTTGCAGTAAATTGGCACATTTTGGTTGGTTTGAATTAGTGGTGGGAAACTGAGGCTTTCGGAACCGTTTGAGGCAAATTGTGCTGAAAAACGGTTCGTTACTCGAAGCTTTTTAACAGTGCGCATTAGCGACATCTGGTGGTCAGACTCGGTTTCGCCAGCCTATCTAACGAAACATCGCGGAGCAGAGGATGGTTTGAATAAGTTTTTAATCTGTGCCAACTCGTGTCATGCATAGTCCGGTCAATGAATTTACATATTGATCAATAATATAAAATATACAAGTGTGTGATTATAATTAATAATTGATGTGAGTAGTAGCAAAAATATTTTGGGTGAGCTGTTCGGGGTCTCTGAGACCCCAGCTAGAACATGATAAAATGCAATAGAGGTGTGACGTGCATTCAGTTTCTGTCTGGTGTTGAGGTTATTCTAAACTATTCTACTGAATCCCAATTAAGTGTACACACACACAACCAAGTCAATGTAAAGTCAAACACAAGAGTCATGAGAAGCGCCGATTTTTTCAAACCAGCTGTCCCGACCTTCCGATGTTGCATGAGGTTCGAAGTTTCAAACATCATCAATCCTGTGGTGTTGTCATTTCGATACAAGCATCGGCACAGTGTGTGATACAATAGTGCTTTGAAAATTGCGTTGGAGCCTCTGTATCAATCGTCCCATCACTAGTTTGAATTATATTGTGTTGTTTTCTAGTGGTGGTGAGACTTCATAATTTTTTTACTTAGGCAATGCTTTTGTCAAACAGAGGGAAATTATGGAGTTATTTATACTGGATAAAAGAGGGTGAAAGTGATTAATGTGGACTGGACAGAAGGCAGTGGAAGTGGAAGTTTAACAATATTTATTTTCCAAGCTGAGTGGATTCCCCAAAAGTGAACCCTTTCTCGAAGCACTGCAATCAAACAAGGCTTTGAACGTCACCAGTGAAGTCACTTCACTAAAACGATACAAGCCGATACAGTCAACGGTCAATAGGCTTGTTCGAGATGCATCGGTGCTGCACAGACCAATCGGCGTATGACATAAAAGTCCGCGAGTTCGAGAGCAGACGACTCTTTAAGCGTTTGAATCACTCTCGCTGTACTTTGATGTCATACACCGATCAGTCTGCGCAGCGCCGATGCATCTCGAACAAGCCTAATCAGTTTTGAGGGTAGGTTTGATATAGTCGAAGAGTATGCCACGCCCACTACTAATGGAAAATCAAGTTTTCATTTTAATTCATTCTTATGAGGAAAATAGGGACTAATATCCAATAAATGTGTTGTGTAAAACTGTTTTGTACTCTTTTTTTCTATCAAGGCAAAAACCTGGAACTAAATATTTGGTTGGGCGTTGGCTGAAAATGTGGAGTTGTGGGCTGGTTGAAGTTTTGTGGCGGTCACAGACTCAGGTGAGCTCGGAGACAAAACTTAACTCAGAACACGAAACTCTCAATGGAAAGAAAATAAATGAAAGTAGAAGAATAGAAGTAACGAGACTAGATGGTTTTCTTCTCATCGTGGCTAAGTAGCAGTGGGCGTGCAGGCCGAAGCACGCTGGAATGGCACTCGATGAATTCATGGGCAAAAAGCATGGCTAAAAGCGATGACTAAAAACATAATTTGATGGTGTCCTGAGTATTTAAACATGGCTGTTGGACACATCCCAAATGGTGTCTTGACCAATTAGACAATGTCTTTGCTCGGGGTGTTGCGATGTTTCTCCTCCCAATACATAAATCACACGTTATCTTATCAGTCACATGGTTCAAATTTTCCCGCTCTTGCAGAGTAAAATTTATACATGATTTCTATAACCAGAATATAATATATGTAGCGTCTGGAACACTCCAACACACAATATATATTTTGTTAGCTAGATTTCACAAATACTTTGTAACACCCCAGGACGCCGAACGTTAATTATTCATATTTCCCATGAGCTGATTCGCTACATATATTTTACAAAGTATTGATTGATAGAAAGGTTTAAAGCATGACTTTTCAAACTCATACATCCCCAACATGAATATAATCCGATAAACTATTCAATAGTTATTCAAAATACATACACAATAAGCAGTGTTGGGAGTAACGCGTTACAAAAGTAATAATATTAAGTCAAGTCAAGTCAAGCCACCTTTATTTATATAGCGCTTTTAACAATACAGATTGTGTCAAAGCAACTGAACAACATTAATTAGGAAAATAGTGTCAATAACGCAAAATGACAATAGTAAACACTCATTTTTCAGTTAAAGACAGTTCATCATTGAATTCAGTGATGTCA